ATTTTTAATTAAGTACAAATGAAAACACTTTATTCCTCAATTTGTATACATCTGAATGTAACTTAAAAACATTAAAATTAAATATTTCAGCCAATTTTTATCATATGGAAGACAATTTTTTCTTCTTCCTCTCATTCTTTCTTTCTTTAAATATTATGTGGGATTTTAAATCCATAGCTTAATATTTTTCCTCGCGCACTGTCTAAATTTTAGCTGTTGACTGCACGAGTGAAATTGATAGAACTCTCGCCACTTTGTTTTATGAGAGGAGATGTAAGATGATATAGATGTATTAATAGATGTAAGATGATATAGATATTGTATTAATAGAGGAACTATATTATAGATGTATTAATATTTTATTAAATGTGTTTTGTTTGAATATGAATTGTGATTTCAAAACTAAAGAACCCACAAAATTGGTGTCAGAAGCAGGATCAAATTACAAACAACAAAAAGAGGAATATGAAGCAATATTGGATGATAGAAGAAATATTTCTGTTAATAGTGAGATCGATGCATCAACTAATCGAATTTTCAATGACTCTTCTTTTGCTGCTGATGATGAAGATCATGAGCTAAAACAAAATATTATTCAAGTCATCAGTTCAATTTCCGTTTTCAAATATGTATATAAATTTTAATGATATTGAAAGTTTGGTTTCAAATTTGATGGTAATCCGTATAATTTGGTTTACAAATTCATTGAAAACTTTGAGGATGTATCTAATTTGTCAAAACTAAATGAATTACAGAAACTGATATTCGCCAAAAGATCTTTAATTGGCAAAACAAAATTATTTATTGAAAGTGAAACAAAAGTTAATTTGTGGAATGCACTTAAGGCTTTATTAGTAAATGAATATGGTGTTCAGTATAACTCCTCAGTTACATGAATTATTATCAAAATGTAAAATGCAGGAAAAAGAATCGCTATATGAATATTCTTTGGTAATTAAAACTATGTGTTCTAAAGGTAATATTGAAAACGCCATTTTATTTGAATATGTTATTAATGGTGTAAACGATTCTACATTTAATAAAGCTATTCTTTATGGTTGTAAAACGTTGGCAGAATTTCAGAAAAAACTTGAGATATATGAAAAATTAAATTAGATAATGATAAAAACAAATCCATTAAGGCTAATTCTAAAACCAGAGGCAACCATTTTGAAAGTAAAATAAAAATAAATATTCATTGCTATAACTACGGAAATCTTGGACACGCGGAGAATTTCTGCAAAAATATGAGCAAGGGAAAAAAACGCTTTCGTTGTAATTTATTTGGACACGTAGCCGCAGAATATGCAAAAAATAAGTCAAATATAAATGATCTTGCCAGAGTGAATCATACATTTGTAAAGAAGCAATGAAATGATATGCATAAAATTGTATTGATAGATAATGTAGAAGTAAAAGCTCTGATTAATACAGGAAGTGATATAACTATAGTATCGGAAAATATTTATAAAATAATTGGTTCACCTAATAATATTAATTCTTCCAGTTTGATTCTAGTAGGCTTTGGTAATAATAAAGTAAAACCTATTAATTATTTTAAAGGTTCCATACGAATCGATGATTGTGAAATTAAATCAAATATTTATGTTGTGCCTCAAGGAACAATGAAAGAAAATACTGTTATTGGAAATGAATTGCTTTCGCAAATGGAAATTATTATAAACAAGAACGGCATATCTATGAAAGTAGCAGATGATGAAAAGGAAGACGAAAATGAATCGAATTTAATGTATATAAGTATTGATCAAGAAAATGAGTTAGATAATAGTTCGGATATTAATAAAGCCTGTATGTCCAAAGTAAAAGACTTAATTGAAAGTCATATTTCTAATAGAACTGATAAACCTATAGAGGTTGAATTAAAGGAGATGCTGTTGAATTAAAGGAAGAGGAGTCTCAGAAAGAAAAATGTGATGTTAAAGGTAGAAAAGGAAAACTGCAAAACGTAGAGGAAAGGAAGAATTCCATTCCTAAAGGAAAAAGAAAAAATCTACATAAGAAATTTCAGGAAATCAAAGAGAGTAATAGAAAAATTAATGATTCCAAAAAACTCACTATCGGAAAATATTTATAAAATAATTGGTTCACCTAATAATATTAATTCTTCCAGTTTGATTCTAGTAGGCTTTGGTAATAATAAAGTAAAACCTATTAATTATCTAGGAAAGAAAGGATTCAGTTCTAGGAAAAGAAAGAATTCAGAATTTGAGAAACTATTTGAAGATAATTCTGGTAAAACAGGAATATCAACAGTAAGAAAGAGTAAACAGCAAGTGAAATTTCCAGCTAAAGAACTGGATCCTGGTATGTCTGAAAAACTTAAAGGAACACAAGCCAAAAAAAAATTCTATTAATACCGAAATGCATGTTATTTTAAAATATCACCAACCTATTTCTTTGAGACCCAGATGTTTATCAATTATAGGTAAAGAACAATTAAAACAAGAAAAATCTATTTTACAAAGGGATTTGAATGCTCCTGAACAACAAATTAGATCTTTTTGGGAAAAAAACTTTCTCTACTAGAACAGACAGTAGAAATGTTACAGAAGCAACTATCAGAAGCAAATAATGAACTAGAAGCTGCAAAATTTCAAAGGAGAACCAAAGATAAAATCTTGTCTGAGAAAGAAAATGAAGTACAAAATGTTAAATTGAACATGCAAGAAATGTTAGCTTTTGAAAAAGATTGCATCCACATATGCATGAGCGAAATTATGGAGAAAAGATTATTTGCTAAACAAGCAGAATTGGAAAGAAAAATATGTATCACTCATGAAGAATTTCGTCAGTTGCGAGAAATTCTTAATGCTGATGATTGGGAACATTATGGAGACCTATGTGGTGCTGATGCTATTCCTACACCCTCTAGCGTGACTTCAACATCAACTTACAAATCAACTAAACATAAGACAACGTCATATCAGAGACGTAAATCTTTCCTTGAAGAACCTTCTGTCTTAAAAGGAATATTTCCTAAAGCAATATCAGCTGTTAATTTTATACCTGGAGTAAACAAACAGAATGCTTCTAATTTTCAAGCAGAAATGTATAGAATAATAATGACTATGACGTTTTAACCTGGAGTGATACAACTGATAATCAAACTGTGATTTTTCATCTAATAATGAATTTTATTTCAGTTAATGTTATTTTTAAGATGAAATAAACATTTCCAAAAATGTGAAAGATTGAAGATACTTTTTGATTTAGATGAAATTTCTGAAAAATAGAAGGGACTGTTGACAATGTTATTGTTGCAAAGATGAAGGACAATTAAGATGTTTCCTTTCAATTTTGTCCTTAGCACACAATCTTCCCCTCTCCCTTCGTATTTCAGTTAGGTTTCGGCTTATTCTTGATGATGGTTCTTTTGCCGAAGACAACGATGATGTAAGATGACCAATGATTTATGATGTCAAGAGCAGAATAATGTCGTTGAGGTCAACACATAGCAGGAAGGCCGAATGTGGGATTTTAAATCCATAGCTTAATATTTTTCCTCGCCCGCTGTCTAAATTTTAGCTGTTGACTGCACAAATGAAATTGATAGAACTCTCGCCACTTTGTTTTATGAGAGGAGATGTAAGATGATATAGATGTTGTTTTATATGATGTTATAGATTTGCGTTAATACATATACGATGTTATAGATGTTGTGTTAATAGATATATACGATATTATAGATGCAGAATATTATAGATGTATTAATGTTTCATTAAATGTGTTTTGTTCGAACATGAATTGTGATTGTCAAACAAAAGAACCCACATACATATATGCATATATACTATATGAAATGAGTACAAATTTTTCCTAAGTTTTTCTACAGGGATTGGGGAAGTGTATTAAAAGTTAGATTTTGCAATCCTTACAAAATTGGCTTTTTAAATTTCCAAAACATACATACTTGCATTATTTAAAACATTTTTGTTACAGGAAGTATGCGTCTATGATGAACAATTGAGAAAATAAAGGCCGCATAATGAGTTTTGTGAACACGGTGGCATATTCAGGCTAATGTCAAAAATTTCTATGCATAATAATTTTACACATTTTAACACATTTGCTGCCAATCACGCATTGGCACGTGACTGGCGTTATTGCTAAACAGCCACTCATGCTCCGGCACATAATATGGGATGATGCCACAGATGCACTGCGGCAGGAAAAGCAACATCTCATTTTTTATTTTCCTCATTACGTTTTCAGCATTACGTTTTGAATATGTATGCTGGTATTGGCATGGAATGAAGGTTAGAAATTAGTTCTAAACGTATGTGGTTTGTAATGAAAACAAAGTTTCATTTCATGAAAAGATCATACACGAATAGCATTCTGAAATGTATATTTTGCAATAATATCATTGTATCTAATAATAAATTCATTTGTAATATATATATTTGTTAATGATATACTCTGTACAAAAATTATGCATATTGCTACTTATTTTGATTCATTTTTAAATGCTATGCCCCAGCGCATAATGTGGCATTGAAGAAATAATTTTACTTCTAGAGCCGATCACATGCTGGCATCTATGCTTAAAGGCTTAACAATCAATGTGGTACACATAATAATCTTTTATCACTTTTAAATCATAATTATTATCATAAATAAGTCAACATATTGGTACAATCTATTTCTATGAAACAGCGTTAACTATCAACACAACCTCACATGACCAGTGGCGAAAGTGTTAATTTAATTCAGGTATCTGGTGTATGACTATATGATAAAACTGCTAAGTGGTAGTACAATGCACAAAACTTAACAGTGTTGCAAATATAAAGCATCTAACACATCGTTCAATAAGTTCCTGGACTGACCGACAGATGGCGTAGTAATGTCAACCTGACTTCGTTGTTTGAAAGAACTAACCTTCAAATGGCACATGTCTGATTTTTCACGGCATTCAGACCATAAACAGCGGAGCTACTGTGGTAAAAGTGACACTACTTGTGCATTTGGGGACAAAAATGGAGAAAAACGAATTTCGAGTGTTGATCAAACATTGCTATTTAGTGGGCAAAAATACCGCCCAAGTTCAGCAACGGCTTGGAAAATGTTATCCAGACTCTGCTCCATCGAAAACAACCATTTGTCATTGTTATACTGATTTCAAGCACGGTCGCACGGATACAAATGATGCGGCACGCTCGGGTAGGCCAAATGAAGCAGTCACTCCGGAAAATGTGAAACAAGTGTTGAAAATCGTGATGAATGACCGTGAGATTGCCGAGAGATGGTAAACATATCAATTGTAAGTGCATGTGTGATTTTACATGAAAAATTGGGCATGAAAAAAAGTTTTTTCCAAATGGGTGCCGCGTGTGCTCACAATGTAACAAAAGCAACAACGAGTCGACAATTCACAGAGCTGTTTGTCCCTGTTTACTCGCAATAAACAGGATTTCTTGAGTCAGTATGTGACAATGGAAGAAATGTGGATCCATTATTTCACTCCAGAGTCGAAGTGGCAGTCAGCTGAGTGGCGTGCAGCCGTCTGAAGCGTCCAAAAACGCAACAGTCAGCTGGCAAAGTCATGGCATCAGTGTTTTGGGATTCGCGAGGCATAATTTACATTGACTACCTTGAAAGGGGAAAATCTATCAATAGCGCCTATTACAGTGAGTTACTGGTGCATCTGAAGAACAAACTCGCAAAAAAAAGTCCACACATGAAGAAGAAAAACTCATCTTCCATCAAGACAATGCCCCGTGCCACAAGTCAATGCAAACACTGGTTACATTGAACAAATTGGGCTTCACTCTGCTTCTCCACCCACCATACTCCCCAGATCTAGCCCCTAGCGACTACTGGCTGTTTGCTGATCTAAAAAAGATGCTCCAGGGAAAAAGATTTGGCTCGAATGAGGAAGTCATCGCTGCCACTGAAGCTTATTTTGCGGACAAGGACAAATCGTTTTACAAGCATGGGATAAAAAAGTTAGAAAAGCGTTGCAATATTGCTTAGCTCTTAATAGTGATTATGTTGATGAATAAATGTGAATTTTGTGAAATGGATGTTGTTTTCTTAGTTAGTCTTGAGACTTATTGAATGATGTGTTAAGTTCTTATGGCATCTAAGATCTTAAGACATAGTCAGGCCATGAGAGATCGAGTAACAGCCAGGATGTAGTCAATTAGTGTGGGAGTAACAGTGTAGAAGCATATGCAAGAGTGGATGGAGATTAAGTTTTATTTGAGTAAATATTTAAATTACTGAAGAGACTGAATAATTTAAATGATTAAATAAAGATTTTAATATTTAATTTTCAAGGAGAAATGAATTCCTATCAGATTAATTGCAGTCGTAGGTAAAGGAAACAAAGTTTATAAACAAATTAATTAAATTTAGTGCAGGTCATCTCAAGGGCAGGGCTTGTTGGTCACCCATCTGTTGGAGATGCTGAATAACTTTTATGAAAACTGAACTTAGATAAAATTCATATGAAGCAACATTAATTTTATCATTACTGTCAAAACAATTTGCAAATAATTTGCAGTTGCATTAACAAAACAATTTGCTTCCTTCCAAATGAAGAAATAATACCTAATTCATCCATTGGAGTTTCACAATATTATCTTTAAAGTATTCTGAAAAATTTATTCATTTTATTGCCAAATAGAGTACTTGAATTTCCTTCATGTCTTTAAAAATGTCCTTGAAGGCACATTCATCCTATTTTTACTATCACTACTAAGTTTATAAACAAATTAATTAAACGTAGGGAAGGTTATCTGAAGGAGCAGTGCCTGATAGTTCACCCACCCAGGTACATAATGACTGTTTGGGATGTGGCATAACTTTTATGAAAATTAACAAAACTTTCATGTAGCAATATTAATTTTACCATTACTATCGACTATTAATAAAATAATTTTCTTCCTTGCAAATGAGGAAGAAAATACATAATTTATCCATTGTAATTGCAACTTCTCAGAGCTTCACAATATTATCTTTAAGTAGTTGAAAAAATTGTTACTGCCAAATATTATTTGAATTTCCTTCAAGTCTTTAAAAATGTCCTAGAGGGCATTACGTATGTTATTTTTACTATTACTGCCACTAAGGGCTTGTGTATAAGATAGAGTATTCTTAGCTGATTACTTGATTTAGCTACATTCACACATTCAAAATTTTTTGAGTACTTCTGTGCAGCAGTTTCAGAAGATCTGCTCAAAGCTCAGTTGGCTTCTTCGGGGATTTCTTAATTCATATTCATTTGTGACTTATTACTAGGAAATTTACTGGAACCATGTTAAGAACTTGGATGTTTCCCATTACAATGAACACAAGTGAAATCATCAGTTTTTCCAGGACGGGGGTTAATGGTTGTTTTGTGGTCCTCCGCACACAGTTTGATATATATAAGGAAATTAACTTTCTTTGGTGGATTTAAAAGCAAATGAATACCACAAAAAGCATCATTTTCAACCCTAAATTATAAACTTACTCTAAAATTGCACAAATCATAGTTAAAAAAATGACAGAGAAAAAATAATCCATAAGATAAAATAATTTTTATTTAAAAATATCTGAGAGAATTACAATTGTGAACAAGTTTACATTTAAAAATTTAAAAAGTATAATTGAATATTCATATAACAATCACCTGTTACCATTGCACTGAATTTGTATAATTTTATATCTCAACATTTATTGCATTACAATTTTCTATGGAACACTTTTTTTAACAAGGCACAAAATTTTTATAATTTTTTTAAATTTTATACATGAATTTGAATAACTTTCCACAAATTTCAGATTTTTGAAGGTATCTTCTATTGGGATATTTGAAAACCATAAGCAGTAATTTCTTTATAAATTTTGTTTCCTATAAGGTTTAAAGGTAATATCTGAAGATCCCACTAAAAACTCTCAGAGAGTATTTATCAGGCATATGGCCAAAACAGTTGTGAGGCAACCCACAGTGTCACCGAAAAGAGACAACCCAAGGTATGCACGTATGGTTGACAAGGTATGTATGTCTGTTTTGGCCAGTGTGGCAATGCTGAGCTTATGCTAGATGTTGAATATGTGCAATTCTCTGATCTCTTTTTTTTTTTTTTTTTTTTTTTTTTTTTTTTTTTTTTTGCAAAAGATCACTGTGGACATGGAGTTAACAACAGCACAAAAGAATTACAGAGAGATTTCTCAAAAAAAGTGTTTTACTACTGATGTTTTTTTCTTTTTAAATTTTATTGATTGACTGCCCTTTTATGGAATTTTTAGTGTGTCACTACTTTGAAAATGACTTTTGTCTTTAGTGTGAACTTTTGAAATTTTTTAAAATTTTGCCAAGGGGTAACCAGCTGCAAAAGAAACTCTACTTCGCTGGAATTTTCCTCAGAAATATTCGTCTGGAATCTCAGATCTCATTCTTTTGCCATTTCTTTGGAAGTTTGTGAATGCTCTCCAAAAGCTGGCAAAGAGTTTGTGACTTTTTGGTGGAGGTGTGCATAACAGAAAATACAGATTTAAGCTGAAAAATATTTAAGCAGTCAGCTTCCAATTTACTGGAGTAATATCAGAACAATATCCGTGGTTAATTCAAGATCACAGTTAAATTAAAAGCAGTAAAAAGAGGGAAAAGAAATAGCTTGTATCATAATTAACAGAAAAAAATGCTACTAATAATTTAATTGCATTTTCAAAAAGTTTAATTCAAATACGACATTGTTTTTAGAAAAGAAGTATTATGATTAAGTAAATTTAAACAATGAATCCTGTGATACCTAACTCCTTATTTGTTAATGCTATATATTTTCTAAATGGTATACAATGACGATACTGAGAACCTATATATCTATGAAATATTTTATGCACTGTTATTAATTTAAGTGAGATGAATACATATGATATGTTTTATAGTTTAAAATAAATTATTTTAGTATTTATGTATTATCCTGTCGACTGGTCAAATCGTGCCAATTATGGATGACCGTATCCTTTAGAATTCTGCAGTAACAGACACACCAGGTGAAGAACCTCCATCCCAGGTCCTCATTATACAGGACCCATTCAGAGTTTGAAATATCCAACGCCCGTGGGACCTCGTTCTCGCAGGCGCAACCCCTGCAGTCCCCATCCGGCTTTTACGAAGCATTGGGCAGAACGATACTTTGCTAGTTTAATACGCTGTCACCTTGCCTCCGGGCACCACTCCATCAGCAAAACCACATTGTAGAAAGGTGTTCTGTCCGCTTTGTCAGTCCCCGCCACGAGAACTGAATGGGGTCAAACTCCCCGGAACTCAGTCGACAAATGTACCATGCAGCTCCACCACAGCCGAAGGAACAGACACGACAGTACCAGTACAGTCCCTGCCAAGCCTGAACCTACCTGAGTACAATACTCGGGTTCTAGTCCTATGAAGACGAATTATGTGCCCCCGTGGTTGAGACTGCTTAAGTACAGATCCTAACCAGTACTTCTGAGGAATTCTACTGAGTCAACCCCCAGGGGGGGATTCTGCAGTAACAATTGGCAACCACTGCTGAAATATCTACCAGTGGTCGAGAGGACAATATGTAAGTGCCATTACTTTTTTATTATAATCCAATACAGGCATATGTTTACAATTAATGGATTTCTTTTCCCTGTGAGAAAAGGCCAAGTTGTTTGATCAACTCCTATATCTTCCAAGCAAGCAAACTGGGAAAAGGAAATTCCAAATGAATTTTTGTATCTGAACTTCCTCCATTTGTTTATTCATTAAAGAGCAGGAAAGATAAGGAGGGGAGAATGATTTCAAACTTGCTAGTGTTCAGAAATTCTATGTCTGCAGAGGTTATTTCTTCCTGAAAAAACTATGATATTGCTCACGAGATATTAAAAATGAAATTCCATTGTTATGTTACATAAAAACCACGAAAGAAAATCTATCTGATGTTTCCATCCGACGGAGAGGTTCCAGTATTACTCTCGCTACCAACTTAAAAAAAGCACGAAGACGTTACAATGCCATATACATCCATGTAAATTAATTTAAAATTCTTAAAAATATACACCACACTGTTTTATCTTCTGTATTACTTAAATCAATGGAATGGTTAAAACAATTAAATAGTAAATTCATATTTACCAACATAACTTCGGATATTTATTTCAAAACTTATTGTTCGATGCATAATGCTGAATTATCAAGTATATCAGATTATTGGATTTATCAACCATTTGTGGCAAAAACAATTTTGCAAGTGAAATTTAACCCAGAGTGAGAAAGCAAAACTTTAAACAAAGCTCTACAAATACATTTAATGACTGAAGCATGCAGGAAAACAAACTACAGAATATGCAGAATTCATTATTCCTAATCAATTAATTCGTAGTTCGAGCGCCCATCTTCTTCTCAAATTACGAATGAGAAGAAAGTGAACTTTTATTACTTCTTTATTGCTTTATAGTTATTGTGATCTGAAAATTTAACAAATGTATTAATTTTCCTTAATCCATTCAGCAATTATTTTCTTCAAAAATGTATGACTAGAGAATTGTTTAAAGGAACACACTGAAATGAATAACAGTTCAGAATGGTTAATAAGACTATAAATATTTTTACTTTTTTTAAAAGAATTTTGCTACACAAGATTCAACTATAATGGTCCTCCCCACCAAAGCTAAAGTGCAGCTGATAACTTCAAAGAGATATGTTCATAGTCATATCCAAAGAGATATGTTCATAGTCATATCCAAAGAAATATGTTCATAGTCATATCATAATTCATAGCCACATCAGGTAGCATTCCTATAGGGCCTATGAGTGCCGAATTATCAAACGTGCTGAGTTATGTATTGTCAAATTTCAACATCATTAATTTCCATAAAACTGTCCATGCACCAAACCATTCGGTGCCAGATTTTCGGACTTCTGCACCTTAATTTCAATAACACTGTCTAACATTAGGAAATATTTTATCCTTCATATATGCAGTTTCATCTTCAGTGATAATCTTTCATTATTCTTCACATACAAAGAACATGAACTGGAATGTTTTTAGAAATTTAAAAACTCATGTACATGTTAGTTCATAAGTGATGATATTACTTATGAGGTGAATTGTATTGTCTGTAAAAAAGCACTTCAAAAGTACCTTATATAACTCTTTAACACAAGAAAATGATTCATTCTTTTTGCACTGATAAAAAATAAACATTTATAATTATTATAATACATTTTGTTTAACTTAAATTAATGAGGCTAGTTTTGTGTCACCCTTATTATAAATTTAATGACACAGAAAACATAGATATTTGAAATAATTACTATCAGATCCAGCTTTACGCACAGATTTTGGAATTTGGCAACCAGATTAGATATTTTGTTTCTCAGCTGATAATGTAATGTGTTGTTAAAGTATTTAAATTCTGATGTCTTAATAAAGACTACTGAATATATAATGCTACTCAATATACTTTACTGAAAGTACTTCTAAACTGGCCCAACCAGTGGCCGTGAGACATTTCTTCCCTAGGCAGATAGTCCTGGTGTGCTTTATCATATTCAAATAACCTAACTTACAAACTGATAGTTTCTGCAATCACAATGGCTCATTTCACACTTACGGAAAATTTAATGACACGACTCCAGATTATGGGCTGATAAGCAACTTTAGTTAACATTTCAGAGAAGGAGAAACGCAGACGATTAAAAGAAAATGTATGGGCTATTCATGTTCTCCAAGATAACAGTTATCTTGATATGTTAGGAATCATCATAAAACCACAGCTAATTTCAGATATCACTTATAACACTTTGTCTTTCAGTAAGAAGAAGCACATTACATTTTGCCAACATTATGCATAATTATCTTGGTAGCACATTCCCTAGTCACTGAACTTTAAGGGGACCAAGAATATGAGCTCCACATTCATCACATCTGACACATGTCTAGGATCTGTAGTCAGAGGGGTAAAGAGTGAAAATTATAAATATTGCCTAATAAATTTTGCATTTCAGATGCTGTGAATAAATTACTCTCATGCTGGGAATTCCCATGCAGGTCAACTGAAAAATAGGAGTTTTATATAGAACTAAAAGCAAATAATGAAATTAACTAAAATTACCAAGTACTCTACTCTTCTGAATTATCATTTCTAAGAAAAAGCGCTTTTTTATTTAATAGAATGGATTGAGACATTTGAAACATCCTGTATCTTAGAAGAACCAACAACTAAAATTTTTATTTAATGTTCTTCATTGGTTTTGCTTCATTCATATATTTTTATCGATTAAAGAACAGGAACGAAAGCAACCATTACTGGTTCACCATTTTTACATGTTCAACTAACTAACCCTTTGAATTCTTTATCACATCTCCCAGTAGATCACTGAATCATCTAATTTTTGTCTTTTGGCCTTGATTAAGAAAATGTTTCATTAACAATAATTGAAATTTATGGAAATAATGGAAATTAAACTGTCATTCTGTTCATGCCAAGTTATGTTTAGCATAAGTTTTTTTTCTTTCTAAATTGAAGTCATTTTAATTTATTGAACACTAATAGAACTTTTCATGAAAATTCAACCAAATTTTTATCAGATAAAATATGTATTTAAAACAATTTCATTTTATATCAGTAAATGGTATATTACTAAATTTAGCTATGAAACAGTATATACATTAATTATTAATTTGATTTTTATTGTATTTAAAAGCACTTTGATAAACAAAACCTTTCTTTCTCTATTTAGGATTTTCTCAATATAAAAATGTAAGAAAGTTATAAAATGAAACCAGCCAAAGAATATAAAATTTAGAATATATACTAAATATATTTTACACCAGAATCATAATATAAACAGTTCAATGATAAGAATCACGCATCAAAAATGTATTTCAGTCAGTCTGGAGTTCTTTTGAAATGTTACTGCTATGCAAAGCAAAAAAAAAAAAAAAGTCCAAAGAACTCCTGATTTTAATGCAAGAACCTCTAGTTTTTCATATTTTACAGCTGGCAGCTATGAATTAAATACGAATCTCTGAATTTAAATTTTGAATCTAGAAAATCTCAATGAAATAACTTTTTCACAACAATATCTCTAATTAAGATACAACAACATGACAAACAAGTATTAATTTAGAAGTGAAACAAGGTGATAATTTGAAAATATAAGCTGATTCTTTCACTTCTAAATTAATATCTGTAAAGCTGCTGCAAAATCAAATTAAGTTCCTCAGAACAAAACAAAAACAAAAAAAAAAAACTAAGAATTTGTAAATTATTAAAAACGAGATTAAATATTTACTTGAAACTCTGCTAAATTTAAATAAAAACTCATACTTTCGTCAGAATAAATAATAAATAGTAATAAAATTACCTCTTCTTCAATTTGTTTACTATACTTTATCTCCTCTTTTTCCGAAAGAATTTTATTTTTAGCAAGAAAGGAGACAAAAAGTATTCAAATAAATAACAGTATTTCAATAAACACACATAAATTACAGGCTATATACATACTAACAAATACCTTGATGAATGTACTTTACAAATAAAATCAAATGTCAGAATACTGCCAAACTTCAATATAAGGTACAACTGAACGAACAAGAAAAAGTTGACAAAATAAAAATTTGAATTATTCCAAAGACTAATATTCATATTTGTTATTTTTTCTTCAATGAGCCCAAATGCTTTGGCATATATTAGTTTGTTATTCAAACTAATATATACCAAAACATTTGGACTCATTGAAAAACAATGACAATATTTCAAACTATTTTTTTTTAAACTCCAAACATGAATAATCTAAATGATTTTCATAGTTACACATCTCACAAATCGAAACATTTATACAAATTATGGCAGCTATTTTAAACAATTATACCCATTATTACAAGATTTTACATTGTTACATTTTAATAAAAATATTTCATGCACTTATAATAAAAATTTCAAAAAGCTTTTTATAATAAAAAAGTAATTTTAAAGAGAAAATAAATATATGAAATGTTTTACGCACTTCTTGAAAACTAAATTATTCAAATTTGTTTACCTTAAAAAACAGATACCATGGTCTTCTATAAACCTTTCTTGAGATACTAAAGAATTAGATTTTAAAATCGTGCATCCATGAAAAAAAAAATTTTTATCCATATTTATTTCTGCAAATGGTCTTTGAACAGAAAATCCGCAATTGCATTGTTGATAATGTCAGGATGCTTCCAAAATACATAGTGAGACCCCCTTTCAAAAGACATCACTTTAAGTCTGGATGATTCATTACCTGTTAAAAAAAAAAAGAATTCTCATAAAAATGGAATCAAAATAAATGAGAAAGCTTAGAGCTTATAATTAAGACATATAACAATGAAATTTTCATTTCATACACAAGTTAAATGTGCACTTTCTCACTGCCCTCATTCTCCTCTAATAATTCAAAATTAATAATGATCTTCTATACCTTAGGAAATTAATATAAGAATGATTAAATGAAATATTAAAATAAATATGCTGCACAGAAATTTCAAGAAGAACAATATAAAAAGAAATAAATAAGAATTGAGACTGCAGTTTAGTCCAGTAATATACCGTACAGTCCCAATATTTTGGTGTAGCACCATCTCGAAGCCATTTGTTTGGATTACCTTTTTATTTTCATGCCAGATGTTATTTGAAGCTACATGGAATGAGAGTCTTATTTCTATTTCTTCTGCACCTTTTTTACTATTCTGCAGTTTTTGCCCCTATTAATCATGTTGCACAGAACCATTGAAAGAAAATATATATCAAGAGAAGAAATGGTAAAAATTTTACAAGAATTATCCGATGACAGTTCTGGTTCAGAAATAAGTTCTCATGAAGAATTTAATACAGAATTTTATTCTGTTTCATCTGATGACGAATGTATTATTCCAATTACAGCAAGAGAACGTAATTCATCTCATAACAGTTCCACTATTTCTTCAAAAGGAAAATTATCATAACAGTTCATCATCTGTTTTAGAGAATGGACAAGACATTCTTTCACCATTTCCATATTGTATCGATTCTAGAAATAAAGTACTAACAAAAGGAAACTTTGGAGGTCAAAGATTTAGCTTGAGCAAGAATTTGGTTGTGGACAAGAAAGCAGTCCTGCTCCAAAAAGATAACAAAGGTATGAAACAAGCCATAGTCCAATAAGAAAACAAATTAGATGTTTTGGAAATTTAAAAAAAAAATATTTAATCAAAAGATGAAGAAACAGCAAATGATGGTACAATGTTGAAAAAGAAAATTATTTCAGTAATTCACTTGAGAGACCTTCTCTTCAAAATGTTGCAGGAGAAGCAGATAGGTCAATTACTTTTGCTAAGAGAAAAGTAATTGATAAGAACACAAATAACATATGTAGACTTTTTATCAGTAAAAAAATATACTGCATCAGCAATGTACAGAAATCGAGATACGTCAAATGACAGGAAATTTAAACTTTGTCACTTGATGAGTAGATGCTTTTATTGATCTATTATACACTGAAAGTATTATACATTTAATGTTCAATTCTTGGAACCTAAACTTCGTCAGTAAGAGAACGCCTAGGGACAGACTTAGAAATATTTTCATTTTGACTTGAAGTTGATTAGATAACAGAGCTTACAAACTGATCCAACTGTTCTTCCTTCAAAAGTATTGATTATTTTCACTGAGAATTGTTCATTGTATTAAAAAAACACATGAATAACACAATTGATGAACTATTGCTCCTTACAAAGAATAACACAATTGATGAACTATTGCTCCTTACAAAATCAAAATGGCTTTTTATTCAGGATATATCATAAAAACTTGATAAATTGAACATAAAATTTTGGCTTTTAGCACATATAAAAGCAAAATACTTAATAAATGGATATCCTCATTTGGGAAAAGATGAAAGCAAACTGTTGGGACAAGATAGCAATAATTGAGCAAACTGTTGGGAAACATGTTATTTATTGGTTGATTGCATAATTTTATAAGAGTAGAGGAAATGTTTCAAGAGATAATTTCTTTACTTCTCTGAATTCAGTAAAAAATTAGAAAAATATAGGAATCAGTTATGTTGGCACAGTCAGACATTAAGCACGAAAATACATCTCTCACCTCATACCAGGGGAAAAGAACAAAATCCTTTTCATGAGCTTATATCATCCAAATCTGCAGTGGATATTTTTTCAAATTATGAAAGTTTTATTCCACCTTCCCCCCCCAAAAAAAAAGATTGTAAATTTTTACAATGCAACCAAATGTAGAATAGATATTTTAGATCAAATGACCTGAAAACATTCCTTAAAGTCTCCAATAAATGTCCACTGCCAGATGTTGCCAAATACCTGTTTTTTTTTTTTTTTTTTTTAATATCTTTTATTTACCTAAGATAGATAGATCATATACATATACTAAAGCTATATTATACTAAATATACTAAATAAATACTACTTATTTAATATACTACATATATTAAATAAATACATAGATCATATACTAAAGCTGTTTGCATATTTTTTAGATGACATTGCTTTGTTATACAAAAATGGCCTGCCTGTAAAAGTTTTTTTAAAACTGCAACTATATTTTTGAAAGTATAAATTACCATCTTCTGCTTGATAATTTCATTTTTATACAAAATTGTGCTTTTATATAAGCAGTGGGTAGGCCATGTTTGTGCGCTTTCTGAAGAAAATTATTCATATCTAGTTATTAAAAAATGCTGTGAAAGCCACGATTTTCTGATATCTAAAGCAATGGTAGAAAATATTATCAATAAGAAAGGGGAAAATATAAGTCAAAGTTTTGCTTTAAGGCAAACGTTGTTTAAAATACACATCCAAGGAAAAAATTGAATGTTTTAAATGTTGCAAACTGAAGAACTTTAAGGTTAAAAGAAAATCGGCAATACAAAGGACAGTTGCATAATCATTAAAATGCTCAGTGTTGACTGTAAACAAAATGATTAATGCTGATTTGAATCTTAAAAAGATGACAAAATGCAATGTGTATCATCTTTCTCCACGTCATATAGCCAAAAAGCAAAATGCGCTGCAGAATTCTCTATCAGAAACGATTATTCGAACAAAAATGGAAAAATTTTTTTGCAATACATGAGCCTTTATATTTAAATTACCACAATATAAAGAGATCCATTAATTATCATCAAAGAGAAGAAAAAAAAATCTTGGAACATGTTCAAAGAATTTAAGAAAGTTTTTCAAAGGGATTTATGATTGTTGCTGGTTCTTGATATAATGACAAATAAAAAATAAAGACAGAGCAGAAAACTGTTCAGGTTAACTCTATTATCGAGAACATATTTTATAACCAATTCTCAAATATGAAGAAATACCTTCTCTTTACCCACACTGGCATTAATCAGTAGAACTGCATCAAGACAAAACAAGCAACCGCATGTCAAAATCTATTGTTAATTTTCCTGGGAAAATGGAACAAGAAATGGGTATTGAGGCCATACCCTTCACTAATATCCCTCCTAAAACTCCTGATGTATGATGATGATCCATGGATGTTTGCACTTTCAGACTTTTAAAAAGCGAATAGTCCAAATGTCAACCCAGAATCCTTCTTAGACTCTGGAAAACTGTTCAAGAAGAATGGGATAAAATACATCTTTCAAAACTCAAAATAGCTTTATTGTCTTGGAAATTATGGTGTAAAAAGATAGCAAAAATTAAGGGTTATCAAATGGAACATTTAAAACACAAAAATTTTAGGTAAATTATTTCTGTAAATACAATAAAAATCATCTAAAAAATGTGGGAACAGCCTCTGTATAAGGAGAATATTGTAAGTACAAACATATTATTTCTTGTGAAATTATTTTAGATGTTGCCAGACAACTATGAGAAAATAACATTTATCTAAAGAAGAAACTTTCTGCTTCAAGAGAAGCTTAAAAGATGTTCCTTCTTCAAATTAGTGTAAACAATATCAAATTAAACAAAGTAAAAAAATTAAAACTAAATGTTTTTTCAAGGGCCAAATTTGCACAGGAAGAATTACTAAACTTTTACGGAAATTTCAAAGATGAAAAAAAAATTTTTAGTTCATGAAAAACTCCTATGAAAAATTTTTGTAGCATATAAGATTAATATTAATAAGCTATAAAAGAGAAATTTTTGCAATGTTATTTTGTAAAATAAAAAATAAATTACTCTGTTTTGAAGATTTTTGTCCCTGACACAAAAATTAATCTAATGAACTAAATTACACTACATTTTACTAGAAAATTCATTAATGCACAATTTTTCTATTAGCTACGCTAAAGTCAAAATGACAGTACTCCATAGTTAAATTTAAAATGAAATAATGCAAGTATTAAAATAACATTCGATTTTTATTTCTTAAAATATTAGGTTGATAAGATTGGTAAAAAAAAAAAAAAAAAAAAAAAGGATCAAGAATTACCCCTTTGTTTAAGGTTACAGTCTTTATCATACTGGAAGATATCTGAATCAGCAGCTCCAAGCAAATAAGCAAGTTCCAATGACCACTTTTTACCAATCAATCGATCATCCTCACTGAAGGCATACAAAATAGGCAACTCACGAGACACAAGTTGAAGGAACTTTTCTTTAGCCTATTAAAAAAGATATATATATAAAACACACAGATATTTATCAGAACAGATTTTACTGGGCATCGCTTTTTATAAGATTAAAGCATACATTTTAAGTAAAGGTAGACCAGTACCGTAGTTAGGGTGGGGCAAGGGGGGGGACATTTGACTCTGGGTGTAGCATGCATAGGGCGCCAAATTTATGCTACAAAATTTTTTAATGAATTGTTTTCCATTATTGGCACACAGAAAGGGGCACAACTTCTTCAGTTGTCCCCAGGCGCTGGAAATTCTAGCTACACCCCTGAGGCAGACTAAGTTACTGATTAAAGCAAAATATTTAACTTCAATACTTTAACAAAGTTCTTTAAAAAAAACGCTAGTACTAAATTATGCACATTCTTTAAATGAATGTATAAAATAAATCTGATGTAATTAATACATAAATATGTATACAAACCCTTTTGGTTACACTATTCTACAGGAAAAAAAAAAAAAAAACATAATGCTGTACAGCAAAAATAAATCAATAAATAATCAATAAATAAAACTACAGCCATAATAGTAGCTTTGATTGCCCCATCCAATTACTATGTTAACAAGCATAAATTCATTTATGTTTTGTAATTATTGTATTTATTTGTATCATTTTCTTAGAAATTTAACCACTTCAAAATATGTGGTGCATACTTCAGTGACATGGTGTAAAGAAACAAATGTACATGATTAAAAAGCATATGTACCTATATGCTAATATTATCATATCTTGGCTTGAAAGTGAAAGCAAAATTTCCTATTAAAGTTACATAATTTAAATTCAAAGATCCATAATACATGTAAAGACTTTTAACAATAAATTTTAAATTTAACTAAGGACAAAATTGTTAAGGTGTCTTTCAAGTATGCCTAAAATGCTGCAGGAACTAGTCACTGTTGATGATCACAAGAAGAAAACAACAAAATGACTTTTTGTGAAAACAAAAAGAGTTTTGCTTCCACAAAAATTTATCATACTCTTTTCTTACAACTCTTCTGTAGACAGAATCTTTATACTCAGTTTATTTCATTCATCTGCACATCATTAACAAATTAAATAAAGTTCTGCTACAAACTGCATGATATTAAAGGTAGCATAGAATTTCACATAAGGAGAAATGAGTTTTAGACTATTCCTTGCATATTATAAGGTAATAAAATTCTGTGAGTATCTTAATTTCAATTTATTATGAATAAAATAACTTGTATGTAACTGAAATATAATAATGAATACTAATTATAATGATATCAATTATAATATACATATATATATTCTACTCATAACTGCCATAAGAATGATATATCTAACCAAAAGCTTACAGTTTCCATTGTGTCTATACTAACGTTTTTCACAGAATGTACCTTCATTCTAATCTTGTGTAATACATTAATTAATACATCAAGATTATAACAGCATTATAATACAAAACAAAAAATTAGGCAAATATGCTCTGCATTAAAAAAAAAGCCTAGAAAACTATTTAAACAAACTAAAACTTGATATGAGCGATGAGGAGGTAAAGACGAAGATACTAAACTTGATATATGAGCGATAAGGAGGTAAAGGTGAAGATACTAAATTTGACAGCAAATCTATCCATTTACTGAATGAATATTAGTATGGAACAATTACATATTATCAACATATTTGTATGGAACAATTACATATCAATCATATCATCATTATATTCTTATGTGTTGCCACTAAAGGCAATGCATAAGAATATTTGGCCAGCTGTTCAACAGACCTGGCTGCTAAATATTTTGTTAGAGTTTAACAAGTTACACATATTGAGAAATGACGGTGACTGATATTCTAGCATGTTCTACACACACTCAGTCATGGAAATATTGAGAGATCTGTCAGGACAGTAAATTGTTATGATACTATACTGAACTCTTCAGAGACATAAATTATCATGCTGAAATATGATGGGCATTAGATGCAACAGCATTATTCATATAACAGCTGAAGGATGTTATTGACATCATTGCATCATTTAAGAATGTAAAGAATACATGTGATCCCAAAGTGATCTCATTTCACGTAAACTACGCTACAAAAAACTAATTCTCTCGGTAATTATCTACATTAATTTCAAATTAAATCTTAATTTGGAATACAAGTTTAAATGCAAGAATTATTTCAATTTGTACGAATAGCTTATTCAGAAAGTATGTAAAACTGCAGTGCTTTACTTTGCTAGTGCATTTTCATTAGAACTGATGAATTTAACACTTGATTTTGTCTTTTCTATATTTTTGCCTTCGGGTGAGCTGTGTGATTGCACTGCTCACCCGAAACTGTGCAATCACGCAGTTTTGAAATCTGACCGAATTGACTTAATTACCGTGAATTGTCTTAGGGCATAAAATTTAACTATCTTGTTAAAATTCTACGTAATTGTATGTCAGTATTGAAAGAAACAATCAATCTGAAAAGAAACGGCTGCGACTTAGTTTGAAAATGAGGCGTAAAAGGTTACCAGTGAAGATATTCCGTTTGGCATCAGTTGTACCATTATTGGCAACTTTATTGTTTGTGCCAGCAAAACGGAAAGGTACCAAACAAAGAAGGCAAAGCACATTTAGATAAAGTTTACCGTCACCTTAAATACAAAATTAATGAAAAATTATAAAAATTTCTAGAAAAGAAATCTTTCATGTTTCTTTGAAGGAGAAATCTGAAAGACTTATCATATGCACATTTGAAGTTTTGACTACCAAAATTGGAAAATTTATAGTTCAAAACAAAAACTTTATTATTGATAGGCATAAGATTACAATGACCATTTTTATGTATTTTAATCTTCTTTTTTTTTTCAAACCTTTCTAAGGAATTTATATGAATTTTCTTATAAACATGCTTCATTAAATTACAGCATTTAATAATTAATGAACAGCAATTGAAAAATCTAGAAACCTAACAAGAGATTAATAGCCTTATGTTTATATTTCTGTAACTAGTTTTATTTCATTTTTAATATCAGGAAAATCTAAATGCTGGTAAAAAATAAACTTTACCATACAATATTTTAAGAACCATTAAAGAAATAGAATAGAAAATTAACACAACTTGGCTGATTCTTTTCCAATATATAAAATTAAGATATAATTCAGACTAGCATATTTCAAATATTGATACCTTTGGTATGTTTCCATGAACCATCGTTGTAGCAGATAACAAAGGATCTAAAAAATTTTCAACTTTGACAGGAGTTTTAACAATATTCTTCATAATAAAGGGAGCACATATTTCCATTATTTTCATGCCCATAGGAGTTTCAGTGGCTGTAACCATCATTTTCATAGACTTAAAATACCTAGTAGAATTAAAACAAAAATATACATATAAATTTATGACATTTCATTAAGTGCATTAAATTCAAAGGGTGTATCAGATTTATAATTTTGTTTCATCTAAACTAGTTATTTTACCATTTTGTTTACTTATTTCTGTTCATTACTATTATTTAGGTTAGATTAGGTTATTTGAATATGGCAAGGCTCATGAGAGTAATTTGATTAAAGTCTTTCATGGGTGACATCCTAAGAGAAGCTGGCTTGTATTCACATCACACATGGAAAATATTACAAAAACCAAGCATGCAGTGAGCTTATCTGTCTGGGTTTAAACTAGGATCGAACTTTCAGTATTCAGTGGTTTTAATCTCTTGGCCACAAATGGGATCTAGTATTATTCGGAAAAACAACCTATCAGAACATAAGTTTTCAGGCAGACAGAAGCAACATATTTAAAATTTATACTGTGAAATTATAAATGTGCAAAAAGTATTTTTTTAAAATAAAGTGTAATAAAAAAAACATAAAATACAGTTTCTTTTTTCGGAGTAGTTTTTTATAGTTAAGATGGATATCATTTATTATAAAAAAATGAAATAATAAAATAGAATTTACTTATTCTTTATTTATTTTATGATTTTTCTGATGTACTTTTGCTTCAGAATAGTTTTTAATTATGTCATCAAACGAAATATTATTAAATCCATTATATTCTAGTCAAAATTGATAAAATGTTTAACCTTGCCTCAGACACTGTCGATTTTAAATAATTTTTTATTCATGGAAGATAAGAAAATAATTTTTCAGACACACATAATGTCACAGTAATTCATTTGAATAGTTTTAACATTACTTATGCTCGGGTATATATTTGTAAATTGCTTACAGACATATTAATGACTTAAACTCAGTTGAAATTCTTTTATAAATAAATAAAATCTTTAACAAAATTCTCTTCAAAGTCTTAATAGAATTTCTGTAAAATTCCACACTAGAAGTCCTAGCCACTACAGTGTTTTCCTAGCCACTACAGTGTTTTCTGGCATCAGATCCTTTTGAAGACAGAGAATTATTAAAGTAATAAATTCAAATGTTTTAGTAAATTTTAAACAACTTTCACACAAAACTTAATTTCAAAATTTTTTCACTACACAAAACACCTTTTATTGAACAAACACAGAAAATCTAAATTAAGAAAATTTTTTCTGGAAGCATATATAATACAGGCAATGATTTGGTGGCATCGAGTAAGATGCTTTTTGTTGCATATAGGCAGGAAATTTATCATCATGATGTTACAACATCAATAAACTAAACAACTGATATCAAGCTGACCAAACAACATTAAGGCACAATAGGGCTAAGTGGTTACAGTTTTATTTTTATTACTGAACATGAATTAAAAAAATAAGGGTCATTGTATATTTTACTATTTATTAACAAGCAAATATATTTGAAAGAGTAAGTAAAAACTTTCAAAAATATATTCATAACCTTTTTTTTTTTTTTTTTTCATCAGTTCAAATTCTTTACATTCACCAAAATTTAACCACAAATTCTAGAGCCTCCAAAACTTGCTATTCTAGGCATCAGCCTATTCATGCATTAATTCTCTTATAAAGAAGATAATAATGGTCTTGCCATCTTTTGAAAGAAACAACTCTGCTTACATTTTACTAAGCATACAGGAAACTACAGTAGAGCAAAAAAGCTAAATTTAAGCTGTGCAGAGCTTAGGTAAAACCTGAATTGAATACGTTTTCAGAATAGAACTGAGTCATATAGTTTGAATACATGACTACAGAATAACCAGAGAAAGCTTTACCCCCTCAAATAAAAATAACTGGAAATAAAACTCAAATTAATACAGAAAAATAATCTCAAGTCTTGTATTAAGAATCCTCAAGATTTGTAACGACTGGGAACTTTTTATCACTGTCTGTTTCCTTTCAGAAATGATGTGTTGTATTTCAAAAATTTCTGCTTTTATTTATAAGCTTTGATTTTATTTCTGGAACCACTCACTGGTATGTAGATATCTAGATTACACAGATAGGATTATAGTTATAGATTATGATTATTATACCTTGGTATGGTGTTACCACCAAAAAGAGTCTCTTATTCAGCTGATACAGCAGTTTTGAAAGAATAAACTTGAAAACACTATATAGCAATCCAAATACCTTCATTCTCTCTAAAAATTTCAGAAATCATTTCATTTATTTTCTTAGTTTTAGAAAGACTTTCAACAGCTAAATTGAGCTAAAGTAAAATGCTTTTCTCCTTGTACACTCAAAAACACGTTAAGCACTTTGCACACATTACTTTATAAGGTACGTCTCCCGCCTTCTTAGCATGCCTTCGTGGTGTAGTGGTCAGCACGCTCAACGCATATTCGAGACGTCCATGGTTCAAGTCCCAGTGAGGGCATTGCTCATTTTTCATCTCTCCTGCTTCCAAAATAGCCTAATAGTTTCTACAACTTAACATTCTAATATTAAAAATCAATACAAATATAAGTTAGACATTTTAATTACTGCATCTTTCATGTATAGATGGTTCCATGTTTTAACCTTTCTGCTAAAAATTCTGAGAGTTTTTCAGTTGGATATCTGAATATCAAAAATTTAAAGCATTAACTGCCAATTCTGATAACTCAAAAGAGCAAAAGCAGAAACTAAAATGCATCCATTAAAAAAAAAAAAAAAAAAAAAAAATCTGACCTTAACAAAAACTAACTGAATGAAGTGATAAGCTTCTTCATAAATTTAGATTAATAACAGATATCAATAAAAATATTTATATGCTGAAATTACTTCTATAAATAAACAATGTGGAAAGTTATACTTACTTCATACCCAGATGATATGTTCCTGTATTGAGCATAACAAGAGATTTAACATTTGGTCCATTCTCATCTAAGCAAAGTATCAAACCAGGATAGATAGAACTACTATGACAAATTAAGAGGTCAACCCTGTAGAAGGAAAAAAATATGTTAATGTTGTTTTAAATACATTATAAGGATGAAAGTTTTTTCATTAATATTTTATAATCATATATGACATACCCTAGTTACTACTGACCTCAGAGTTTTTCCCATAACTTTAACTCCTTAAAGCTACAACTACGTGCAAGACACGTGGTCTTCTATATTCACGTGGTAGACTATTGGCTAGGCCCATGATAATCGGTTTTGGTATTCGGACCAAAACCGATTATCAGCCTAGCCAATAGTATATTGAGCAGGCCAAATGTAAATATTATGGGCATGGCCATGGTACATGGGGTGATCAAATGAAAAGGTACGAAACGACATGGTGGGTACAAATGTAGACTTCATTCAAAATATACACCACAGGCCTGAGCACAACGATCCCACTGATGAACAAGCCGCAAGATTCCTTGTTCCCAGAATTCCTGTGGCCGTGACGAGACCCAGTCCTTCACAGCGTCCTTGAGTACATCGTACGAGTTGAAATGCTTCCCTTTCAGGTGTTTCTTCAGTGGACCAAACACATGAAAATTGCAGGGCGACATGTCTGGACTGTAGGGCGGATGGTCCAACGTCTCCCACTTGAACTTGGCTAGTTCCATGTGTGCGATTCTGGTGATGTGTGGACGCGCGTTATCACGGAGCAGAACCACACCTTCCGTGAGCAGCCCCGGTCTTTTGTTCTTGATGGACTTGCGTAGGCATCGGAGTGTCTCACAGTACACATCAGAGTTAACAGTTTTTCTGTGCTCAAGGAATTCCACAAGTAGCACACCTTGAACGTCAAAAAAAACGGTGAGCAACCCCTTGCCTGCTGACGGCACGGCTTTGAACTTTTTAGGGGGAGGTGACGACGTATGCTCCCACTACATACTGTCCCGCTTTGTCTCTGGCTCATAGTAATGGCACCAGGTCTCATCACCTGTGATGATCCACTCCATGAAAGCGAGGTCTTCCTGATATTGAAACAGATGTTGCAGTGCTAGCCCCATACACAGTTCCTTTAGCTGGTCTGTGAGCTGCTTCGGAACACAAGGAGCACACAACTTCCGATATCGCAACCCGTCATGAACAATTGTCCACACAGTTCCATAGCTGACATCCACCTTCACCACCAACATTCGCAATGTGACACACTGATCACTTTTCACTAGGTCGTCCACCTTGTTGATGAGATCGCTCGTGATGACAGTGTTTACCTGACCTAGTCTCGAGTCATCACCCACCCTCTCACGGCCTGCACAAAAATGGGCACTCCATTTTCTAACAGACTTGTCAGAGACACATTTCTCCCCATAAACTGTCACCATCTGGTGATGAATAGCTGCTGATTTCTCACCTTCCGCTGTCAGAAATCGGATAAGACCTCGCTGCTCCTCAGTCATCGAATTTTACATCGCGAACGCCATCCTGTCCTCATGTGGACTACCGCATCATTTGGACGCCGCTTTTAATAAGAGCCTCTGCTCTCTACTGTGCATGCGGGCGCCCGCGTATGCTCCGATCCCTGTCAGAGACTCCAATCGCATCCCGAGATGTTTCGCTACGTTCTCCCATGGCAAAATATGCAAATATTTAACTGTTACGTTTTTATGTCGTTTTATACCTTTTCATTTGATCACCCCTTGTACCATAATTGAGCCAAATGTAAATATCACAGGCATAGCCGTGGTGTGATGGTCGCAGTTTGTAATTTGCCCCAACACAAACAGCACAGACCAGGCTCGCTATAAGATTCTTATTATTTTTTTGTATCATAATCAGTTAGATGTTCTTCTGGTCACATTCACACTTTGACAAATATTTTCTTAAATATTGCACAAGTATCCCTATAAGATGTTTTCATGAATGACTATACAAGAATTCAATCGTACTTCCAAACCAAATTATGTTATTGAGTCAACAAGAGAATGAATGGAATTGATTGGCAAGACCAAGCACTAACATGCTTTCCAATCAAGAGAAAATATATGAAAAGATATAAAAAAATTGTCTTTTATCTGTTTGATATTGGTCTTTTCAATTAGTACATTTTATTCATTCATACAGTCAAAAGTCGTTAATACGGACGACCATAATACGGAATGATCTATAATCCAGACCTCAAAGCTACAAACTTTCTGCGCATGCGTCAATGCATAATGCGTTAACGCATGCACATAATACCTTTACGCATGCGCATAATACATATACGCACATGTAATGTATAACGGACAGTATAAGTTAAGCTAAAATTATCTAATTATCTATTTCAGTTAATGTTGCAGATTGCGTTGTTCCTTAATCTTCTAATTGAATCTGGCTTATTATTTTTTGCAGACAATTAGAGCAATTTTATAAAAGAAAGCTTGAACTTTCGATTATGTCAAAACGAATTTCTGATTCTGAAGCTACCAAAGGATCTACAAAGCAAAAGCATGTTTCGATGTCCATCACACAAAAAATGGAATTGCTGCAAAAAATGGATAAAGGCATATCCTTTGTTTCTCTAACCATTCTGAAATCTGTTTATCAATTTCATGCTGCACTGCGGGGGAGGGGAACGTCGAGGCGCGCAATGAACTGGAAGGTGATCTGTCAGCACTATCCTTATCTTCAGGGCAGATGTTTTTATTTTATTCCGCTTATAATTCCTTACTAAATGTAGTATTTCATCTCTCATTGTACTCCGTCTTGATATGATTTAAATCAAATTCCTCATCATTATAAATATCACGAATACACATCAAATAGTTTTCTGGTTGCAATTTTCCTAATTTCGACTATGCGTAATGTATGCTTTATGCATGTACGCGTTGAAAGAAATGTTTAATAGAGTAAACAAATAAATATTAAGCTTTTTTTTTTTTTTAAATTTTGATACCCTTTAGATCATAATTGTTCTTTATTTCAAAAATTACGGTTTCATATTTTTAATTTTATAATTTCTGTATGCTATCTTACCAGATTTAAACTGATGATCTACAATCCGGAAAAATCAATAATCCGGAATTGCCGAAGTCCCGACGAGTCCGGATTAAAGACTTTTGACTGTATATCATTATGAAACAGGACGCAATGAATAAAATTGGTAAATGTGAAGGGAGGAAATCATCTGAAGATGTCCAAAAAACAATATGCAATATGACAATACTGGACAGTCCTACACAATATACTACGATGCTAGTACATACAAAGACTTATGACAACTCTAAGGAAGTTCAGATCCAAACTGGTGCCGAAATTGCAACAACCAAAAGCACAAGCGAAAGAATTGGAGGGGGGGGAAACCTTGCAATCTTGTGACATTGGAAAACTGTTGCATAGAAGTTAAAACTCAGCAATGAAACAACAAATCGCTTATTTTTTTTTTTTTTTTTTTTTTTTTTTGTGGCTTCAGGATTTTGCTGCATGAATCTGGTTTACAGATGAATTAATTATAGTCCTATCTCAGTGAGTACATGACAGTTCTCAAAACCTCAGACCAGGATACGAAATGATATTTAGAAGACATGAAGAAGGTGAAACATGAAGAGGTTGCATTCCATGAGCAACCTCCTTCATATAAAAAAAACTTAGAAGTCAATGCAATGTCTCTCATTGGTTCACTAGTTTTTTGATGGTTTCAGGATTTCACTGCTAGAAATCGAAATTTCCCAGACAAAAACATGGTTCATAGATGAATCAAAATTATACGTGAGTGAGTATGTCAATTCCCAGACATTCTTATAGCATGAGCAAAAGTTACCAGCATTATCATACGGCCATAGTTCTCAATCCGTGACCTGCAGAACACTGGTGCTCTATGAAAATTAAATATGTTCCATGAAATTTTAAATATACAATAAATATTGTTGCAAAAGAAAAATCAATACAATATAAACAACTTTTTTTTATGGAACTACAATCAGCAAACAAAAATGATGCTTAAACTATCTAGTTATAAATGTTATGCTGTAAATTTAATACACATTTAATTGGTATAAAAAACTCATGTACTAGGTTGAGAAATTTATTTTAGACTTAATACAATTTATTAATTAACAGAATATAATAAATCCTTTTTTATTCTGAAAGAGCTTCCGGAAGAACTACTGAGATATACAACTGGCCAGGATATATTCAAAGTGACAGTGTCATATTTGAATGTGTTCCACTGGAAACAAAGAAACTACAAAATAAATTTGAACTTATTTAAACAGAATCGAAGAAAACAGAAAAACAAAATGGGATATTACTTTAGAATTTTTATCCAAGAGACAAAATAAAATGTCATTTTCATGAGTTTATGACACATCGGAAGTTGCAATTCCAAGAACATTTTAAAGTGCAGAGCATTTTATTATGTTTTAGACATTATTTTAGCACAGTTAAATTATCAATTTATTGGCATGACAAATGCAAGAGATCGATTTGGTCTTTCTAGAACCTCAATAATCTGATAATCTGCTAAGGAAACAATTAATACAAAAATGTGACAAGTTAGTACATATTTCTTCGAAATTATTGTCACCATAATTTACTTCGCAATTTATAAACCCATTACAGTTGTATAAAGATGAAGTGAAAATAAAGCCATTCAAGAGTTACATAATGTTATAACAATACCATTCACAAGAAAGCAACTCCTCTGATATAGTTTTCTTACTTTTTTTAACGATTCCTGTAACTTTTACTAAAGTTGGAAGATTATTTTTAAAGCCAAATAATCATTAAAGATTACCAAAGAAATATGACTGGATAAAGACGATTAAACTAACTTTCATTTCTTGCCATCGAGCACAAACAGGAAAATAAAATGGACCTGAAAAATATTAGTTTCTTTTGTCTCAATAAAAGCATGCAAATAACCATTCTGATATGCATTTCATAAATCCATTTTTTATTGCGAATGCAACTTGATTGGCCATTTTTTTTTCTTTTTAGGTTGCTATGTTTATTAATATTATTTGGGTAGTCAATATTTCGGGGTATCCATTGGATTATCGCCAAGTTGTTGTTTCACTTACAGTAGCTTGAATATTTTACGATGTATGTTTTGGGAACTCTACTGTGACGTGATTGGTTGGATGCTATCATGACATTATTGTTTGAAATGCATGACAGCGGTACTTTTGATTGGTGTGAGAACACTTCTCAGAACTTATGTCTGCACTGGATGTTGGTTAGGAAGTATGTTGCTTATTTTGTGTTTTACGCCATAAATGGCTGCCAGTGGTAAACTGGGTATTTGGTGGTATAGAACGAGGGGGCAGGAGTTTTTTTCTTTTTTTTTTTTAGAAGTTGTTGAGGACAGAAGAAAAGAAACTCTGTTGGATGTAATATAACAGAATATCTTACATGGAACAAAGATTTTATCTAGTTGCTGGAAGTTGCATGATTGTTTTCCTGACAATGCCTTTATCTTTCAGTAAATCATGCAGTGACATTTAAGGATCGTGAAACCGGAGCTCGTATCAAAACTATCGAAGGTATGCAAGATTTAATAAAAAGGGATTTTCAAAAGAAATGCCACTGACAGTCCCGCGCTAGAGGGGATATTTTTTATTCTTACTTTTGTGAATTTTTGTGGCGAGGGCAGTATACAAATTCTAGTTCAGATAATTTTAAACAGTTTTTGAATGCTGTTAAGGAATTCTATGGGCCACACCGACGACACACAAATTTCTAAATAAAGTAAGTCAGTATTTCCTTTACTGTGGTGATTAGATAACATGTATTTCAGTTTTTATGCTATTTCTTTATTTTATTTTGATTTAAAACGCAGTTTATTGAGATTATAATTATTTTATGTTTTAATTATGTTTTACTGTATTATGTTTCGAATGCCATTTTACTTCGGAGAGCGTTGCATGCAAACAGGAATGGCATAAAAAAATCACCAATTTCCGGCAAGGGGAACCTTGAAATATATTTTTCCCTATAATTTTTATCTGGCTTCCTTAATAATAAATTTTGTTTATTATTAAATACTCTTGAGTTGATTAAAAACATTAAATAAAACTCAATTATTTGATTAAAGTGTATTTTCAATTCATAACTATCTATGCTAATATCATTTTAGAACATATATAATATATATTTGTTTTTTGAAGAAGAACCAAAATTTCTAGCTACACCGCTTATTATAAGCTAATATATATATAACAAATAACAAAAAATCTCATGATGAGATAACAACAGTCATGCAACTCGGGGAATTAAAAGACAGTTTCACACTACATGGTTTATTCCAGATAGACAGTTTGTGGGGTTTTACCTTCCCCCATTCCCATTTCTTCATCAATGCTGACGTTGCACCCTTATTTCTCCCTCTAATGCATGCACACTAAGAATCTCCAAACTGTGAAACTATAAAAACAAAACCTTCCCTTCTGCTTTACAAGTTTGTTTTCATGCCGAGATTAATGTTATTCTAACGCTATCCATATATTTTGATTTATTAACAGAATTACTTCTTACCAAGTGGGCTTTAATAACCATCTAAAAATACCAAAAATTCAAAGAACTATTTTCTAACTAAACGTGCTTTTCGAGCTAATACTTTTGAACAATTTACTTCTTTTAATAACTCATTAAAATTGGTACTTCCTGGTAACAAAAAAAAAATAATAATAATAACTTTCGGTACTATTCGATTTTGAGGGCCATAAAAAATCGCCAAACTATTGTTGATGCCAATCCTGCCAAAAATAATTGCGGCAACCCTAATAATTGTGGCAAGAAAGGAAGTATAATAGTAAATAACTATTTAAGATTGATGTTTTAATTTAGATGAAAGGTTTAATTTCAAAAATATACTTTTTTTATTATAATTATATGAAAAAAGCTAAACATGACTGAATGGAAGCATAAGAGTCAATAACTATTTCAGATCATTATTACAATTTATATAAAAATTGCTAAACATAACTGAATGGATGCCTGCATCGCTATTTCGCTACCGACTTATCGCTACAGCATAATTTCATCTCGTTGGATGTTCAAACGTAATTTTCTATAACGAACGATGCCTTTTCTTTGAAAATATTCTCAGTAAAGTGCAGAATCGCTCACTTATTTGTTTGCCGCTTTTACAAGGGTAAAAACAATTGGATTTTTGTCAATTTTCTTTTACTTTTTAAGTGAAAATAGGTCGATATGTACATAGATAAAGTCAAGGGTGTGCGCAGTGCCATTTTTGTGCAATTCTAGGATTTTTTTTAAAGTGAAAATAGGTCAATGTGCTCATGGATACCGAGTATGTGCAATTCTTAAAAAAGCATCAAGCAGTGAGTGACTCTGCACTTTACCCAAAATTCTATTGCCAACTTTTCATCATGGGCAATTCCCAAATTGTTAAATCCATAGGATATCAAAAAAGGATTTAAAAATTAAACAAGTATTTCAATGGCATTTTAAGAAATATAGAACTATATAAACTTATGCAATCTGAAATCAGCGTATACGCTAGATTTGGCGCACTGTTAAATGGGCACGTTTGCTAGATTTGGCGCCTTTGCGCGTGCATTTTCGCTGCAACTTTTTTACGGCCCTCGAAACAGAATAGTACCTAACTTTCTTGGTACAAAGTTACGAACAGATTGGCAACTTCTTGAACTTGCAAAAAACATTTGTTTCGCTATTTTTATCATTTCTTCATAGACTGTGGGAAAAATTTTCAATTTAAAGCATATAAAATCCAATTTAAAGCATGTGTTTACTAAAAAGAATATGTGATATGTGCATGTATTTGTTGGCTACTGTCAAGTAAGTGCTAAAATATGAACCAAAAAGACACCAGTTTTCAAAATGTAAAAACCAGATAAGTGAGGGTAATTAAGAAATATCTTTAATATCCTCAGTTTAAAAAATCTTAATCTGTTCTAGAAAATTTTGATATGTATATAGTAAATCTGCATTAAAAGTTTAAATATTAATATGACATTTAAAAATCAACTTACTGATGCACAGCTATAGCCTTTAAAAAATCCTGCAAATAATGAGTTTTTTCTTCATCAGAATGTCGAAAAATGCCAGGCTTATAATGTGAAAAATCTAGAAAATAAAAATCATGATAACTAAGCAATAAAAACAAAAAAATTAAATTATGATAAGTTCTGATAAAAGATATTAAAAACTGAGAAGATTATGTGTCTTTAACACACATATTAAAGAAGTTTCTTATTACAAAGTAATATATTATGTTGCAAAGTGGTGGTGGTAATGGTGGTAGTAGATTTATGGCGCAAAGTGCTAAAGGCCATATGTGCCAAACACAGGATTTGTTTTCAATATGCAAACTAAAGTACAAATTTTAGATAAAGAAAAATGTCTAAAGTTAACAGCACACTTATAAAATCAAAGCAAGAAAAAAGATATTGAAATGGTGAAATGAAAATACTGATTATGATTCAGATAATGAGATATGCAATATAGATATAAAATTCTAACATAAAATCTCAAGACAAAAATCAAATTAAATACTGAGATTAATGTTAACCTGTTTCTTTCAGGTAGTGAAACAAATTGGTATTGACCTCTCTTCCGATTAAGCGGTCGAAAGGCAGGTTGCAGCTATTAAAATACTTCTCACGAAGACTAGTAAAATATGGACGCTCAATTAAAATGTGATGGACTGACAGACAAACAGTACAATTTCTCAGCTTTAAGTAGATAGCTATGTGTCGCTCTAGTGTGACCTATTCTAAGCCGAGTCAAAGGAACTTACGATTGCTAGTAGTATCCCAATGCTCTATTTTAGGCTTCACTCTTCTCAACTTGTTGTGAAGTTGAATGTCCCAAAGTTGCTGCCATTTTTTTTTTTTTTTTTTTTTTTTTTTATTTTCTCTTTGATGATGCAACAGATTATCTCTAAGACGGATGAGGCGGATGGACATTTCAACAGCAGATTTCGCTATGATGTCCGCTAGCTCATTGGCTTTTATTCCTGTATGCCTGGGGACCCAGCAGTACAGAATTTCATATCCACAACTTGTTAATTTAATATTCAACTTGAGTACATCCACTATCACAGGATTCTCGATGCTAGAAAAGGTTTCTAAGCTTTCAATGCACTGTAGAAGTCTGTATACAAAATGAGTTTTCTATGGTGCAGTGGTGAGGTGTACACAAGCGTGAGATGTACACAATATATGGCAGTCAGTTCGGAGGTTAAGACTGAGGAAGTGTCGTGTAAACGTCCCAAGGTGAGATTTTAAAATGCTGTACTGCTTGTGGTAACATATCAGACAGGGGAAATTCTTCAATCAGAGGACAAACTCTGACAGGAAAAGAAGGCACACAACATGAATGTGCCTCAAATAAAAGGTCACAGCTATTATCAAGTAAACACAGTTTATAAGGATGGCCAGGTTCAGACAATATACGTGGGCAATCCCAAAAAAAAAGTCTCCTATATTTTTAGGTATACAAAGAACTGTTTATTTTCTATAATTGCTATATCACTTTAAAGATTGAAGAATGTTTTATTTTTCAACATGAAAATTGTCTAATCGGCAATTGACGACCTCCCGCTCCTTTCTTTGTCATGAATTTCAGTACGACCGGCTGTAAACTCTCTACACCACTTGCGAATGTTTTTGACATCCATGCATGACTGTCCATACACTTCCGTCAATAGGCGGTGAATTTCAACCGGTTTAACGCCTTTTGCATTCAAAAATCGAATAACTGCATGCACTTCGCGGTAACGTTTATCGGGAGCTCCATTTCGAATGGCTACCAAGCTAAGACTGAGCATCCAAGCGAAGCGCCTGCATGCTTATGTGGTGGCGGAGAAGGCACCACTCACAACAGTGTTGCCAACAACCGTATTAAAACTTTCTCTACATCCCCAAAAAATAGGAGACCTTTTTTTGTGGGATTGCCCTCGTATTATAAATACTGTAAAAGAGACAACTCCTCATGCTCAAACAGCGTGATGGTTCATAACAGTCAACATAAAGGCTTGGACAGGAGACGTCCTGAAAGCTCCAGAACAAATCTGCAGAGCCTGATGGTAAACAGGATCTATGTTTAACAACATTGAAGACCAAGCGAATCCGTAAACAGCTGAGCCATAGTCCAATCTACAGCGAACAAGAGCTCTGTAAATGCGAAGCATGGAGCAACGCTCTGCAGCCCAGGAGGTGTTCTCCAATACTTTTAAAATATTCAGTGTTTTTAAACACTTCTTTCTTAGATTCAAGACATGAGAAAGAAAAGTCAATTTTCGGTCAAACATCACTCTTAAAAATTTTACTTCAGGTGCAATTGGAAACGTTGACCCATTGAGATATAATTCGGTCTCAGGATGAAGACCTCGCTTTCTACAAAAATACACTCATACAGTCTTCTGCTTCGAAAACGTAAATCCTTGTCTGATTGCCCATTCCTGGACCCTGTTCAAAGCGATCTGGAGCGCTACCTCTCTACATGTCTCATATCTACTCCTCGACAGCTAATTTGTAGGTCATCAACATATAAAGAACCTGCAATGGTGGGAGGAAGTTGTTGTAATACAGAATTTATTTTTAGGCTGAACAGGGTTACACTAAGCACACAGCCTTGAGGCACACCCTCTTCCTGTTTGAAAACTTCTGGCAAAACAGAGCCAATTCCTTACTTGAAAAGTTCTAGCTTCAAGAAATTCTGAATGGAAAATTGGTAGGTTGCCGCGCAAGCCACTCTCGTGAAGATCCGAAGTATACCGTATCTCCATGCCTTATCATAAGCTTTCTCTAATGTCAAAGAAGAAAATTGAGACAAGGTGATTTCTTCTTACAAAAGCTTTTTGAATGGATGTGCTCTAAAAGGAGCATGTTATCGACGGTTGTTCTCCCCTTCTGAAAACAGCTTTGATAAGGCGATATAATATTATTCTTTTCCAAGAAGTAGACTAGGCGACTGTTTACCATTTTTTCAAACAACTTGCATACGCAACTCATCAGGGCAATTGGCCGATGATTCCTTGGATCTTTCCCTTGCTTAACAACAGGAATTACAACAACTCGCCTACATGCACTGGGAAAAGTATGCTCCTTCCACACTCTATTGTAAAGAGTGAGAAGGGCAGTTAGTGACTTATAGGACAGATGCTTCAGCATTTCGTAATTCATGCCATCAAGACCCGGAGAAGACGTATGTGTCTGCAACAAAGCTCTCCTTAGTTCAAGCATAGTAAAATCTCTATTATAAGGCTCAGATTTCGAAGAGTAGAATGTGATAGGATTTATTTCAGAGTGCTGTATGATAGAGAGAAATGCTGGTGAATAGTTTCTGCTGGAAGAAACGACAGCAAATGTCTCACCAATAGTATTTGCAATTTCTTCTATGGAGCTAATCACTTGGCCATCTTTTTCTAAAAAGGAAAGTGGGTGGCCTTTATATATTCCGCATGCTTTTCTCTTTCCCAAACCCGCTTACTAGGCGTAGAGGATGTTATTGACGACACATATGAAATCCAAGAATTCCCTTGGCTCTGCCTTCTTACTTTCGTGCATTTGTTTTGGCTCTTTTTAATCTTATGAGGTTTTGCAGAGTAGGATATCTACGAAAAATTTTCCATGCTAATTTTCTGTTTTTTCAGTGCTTCATGACACTCACAATTCCACCATGGTTTAGTATATTTTAGTATTTTTCCTGATGTTCTAGGAATGGAAAGCATAGCTGCCTGAATAATAGTATTAGTAACAGCTTCAACAGCGTCATCGATATGCACATCTTCTACCATTTCCTCTGCGAGTTCTGCAACGGAAGATAAGAGTTCAGAGTCTGCCCTATCGAAGTATGAATCGAGGGGATCTCGAAATGGGATTTGCTCCTCTTCGTACAACAGATATAAAAATGGGTTAGTGATCGCTGTTGTAAAGATAATTTCCCACACTAAAAGTGCAAAATGGCAACAGAGATGGTGAACAGATGGCAAGGTCGAGAGCGTGGAATGTCCTTGAAGGCTCATGGAAGTAAGTATCCTGCTCATTATTCAGGAGACAAAGGCTATGATCTTCAACCATCTGCTCAATTAGTCTTCCTCGGAAATTTGTATCTTTACTACCTCAGAGCGGACTATGGCCGTTAAAATCTCCTATTATGATAAAGGGCTCAGGCAGCTGCTCTATAAGAAAATTTAAATCTTGCTAATCAATGTGCTCATTTAGAGGCAAATACAGAGAAACAAATGAAACAATATCAAAATTTTTTTTAGTAGCGACAACTTGGAGGGATGTCATCAAAGAAAGTACACTTGATGGATAATACAGTGAGGTGAGGAGACCTACACCTCCACTGGCACGCTCAGCTGCAAGGTTATCCTTCCTGACAAAAGAAAACCTCCGAAGTTTTGCCTGTTGTTCTGGTTTCAGATTTGTTTCCTGTATTGCTAAGCATACAGGATGATAAGCATTGATTATAGCTTTGATGTCGAGAAAATTCCGGTGGAAACCGCGACAGTTCCATGAGACGAGAGTGGCCATTATGAATGGTTTTTGTTTTTCCTGTGCTGCTGTTTAGTTTTTCATGGAAGTAAATGCCTTTGGAACTTCTAAACCCTCTTCTACTTCCATACTATCTGAATCTGCAGATTCAGAAATCATCCCATCAAGAAAGCTATTGCTGGGGCTTCTATTTTTATTAATTATTTTCTGACTCACATTTTTAGGTTTACTTTGAATGACCTTTTTTTTTTTTTTTTTTTTGAGTTGAATATTCTTTTTGGTTGTAGTCGGTTGAGTTTTATTTGGTAGAGTCTGCCTGGATATTGATGTTTGGGTGGCAACTGTACGAGATGATTTAACAGCACTGGCCTATGATGTATTTGGTCGAAGCTGTGTGCTCTGAACTAATCTTCTGGCTTCGGTGTATGAGATGTTCCTAGTAACTTTTGCAGTCTGGACTTCTTTTTCCGATTTTCATTTTGGGCACAAGCGAAAAAATGCTGGACACTCACCCTTGCAATTTATACAGAAAAGCATAGCGGTACAATTATCAGAATTGTGACCAATCTGTGAGCATCGGGCGCATGCGAGGCTGCCACGACAAGACGTCTTAGAATGGCCGAAATGCTGGCATTGGAAGCATCGCATAGGGTTTGGAATATAAGGTCTTACAGGACAATTTAAGTATCCGGCCTTAATATTCTTAGGCAGATCAGGCATGTTGAAGGTCAGGATCATGTGTTTTGTATCAATCAACTTACCTTTTTACGCATCTTGATCCGCCTAACACTGCAGACATTTTGGTCAGACAGCTCGAATGCGATCTTTTCTTCAGAAGCATACAGAAGGTCGAATTTTGAGATTACACCATGACAATAATTCAGTGTCTTATGTGCTGTTACAGTGCCATTCGCTTGTCTAAGTTTGGTTATTTGAAGTAATGATGCAGACTGAGTTGCCGAAACTATATCAATAAGCAAGTCTCCAAAGCGGAGACGCTTTACATTTCTCAGCTCACCAATACAAGAATGTATGTACGAGGGCCATCCAGGAAGTAGATTACGTTTCCGTCTGTGTCCGCTAGGGGCGGGGCTAGCGCGGCCATCTTGGGGTCAGAGCGTTGCGCAGCTCAGTCTGCATCTAGCCGTGCTAGTGAGAGGTTCGTGCTGTGCTCCGTTCAGATACTGTGACGGTTTGAAATGTCTGCGTTAATTGAAAATCCCGCGAGCTGCGAGGTGCGCTCAGTAATAAGGTTTCTGACTGCAAAAAAACTGTAAACCGATAAAAATCTATCGGCAGCTTCGTGAAGTGTATGGGGACAACATTATCACTGAAGGTGGAGTGCGTCAGTGGGTCATAAGATTTCAAAAAATGGCCGAACCTATGTTCACGACGAAGATCGAAGTGGGAGAACCCAGCATAGTGACCGCCGAACTTCTCGAAAAAGTCGATGCTAAAGTCCGTGAAAATCGAAATTTCACAATAACGGAACTTTCTTTGAGTTTTCCACAAATTTCGCGAAGTTTGTTGCATGAAATCATCAGCGAAAAGCTTGGTTACCACAAAGTTTTGTGCAGCAAGATGGAAGGCAAGAAGAGGTAACGAAGTGGTTGAAGGCGCAGGCGGCCGAATTTTTCGACGAAGGAATTTCCAAGCTCGTACATCGCTACGATAAATGCCTTAATTTGTATGGTGACTATGTAGAAAAGTAGTATTTGAGTGTGGCTTTCATCTGTATATAATAAAATTTGTTTCCTATACTTTGTTTATTTTTTTATTCCAAAACGTAATCTACTTTCTGGATAGCCCTCGTATTTATTTATTACGAAAGGAGGCATCTTATGCAGCTCGCCAGAAGGACTACAGATAAAAGGAAATGGGGACTATTGTTAGGATTATTTGCATTTGCATCTGTACGTACTTTTTTTGCAGCAGATTTTCAGAACTAGTGCTTTGACCGACTTGACTAACTTTGAAGTCTTTAATTAAATAAATGTGAGAATTTGCCATATTGAAGAGAGGAAAGATTCGGGTCCGATGGCCCCGCCCACCATGGAGCCCAACAAGGGAACACTGGGCTAGCCAGACCTATATGCAAACTGAAGCCCCACAGTCAGCTTTCACGACAGCAGGTACTCCCGAGAGCTTATCCCCAAACCACTGACACAAGGACTAGTGATCAGCCAATTGACACCTGTGAGGATGACTAAGGTGCCTCCTGCTTAGCTGAAGCAGAGGCCAAAGCAGTGTGTCGGGGACAGTACCTCGCCCCTCAACTACCAGTACCCTCCAGATGATGGAGGGCGGGGACACCTGGCCTTTAACAAAGGTAAGCAGGTATACGTCCCAGGTTCTCCTCTAGCTGGAAGCAAGAACTCCCAAGAGTTCATAGGAGGACCCATCGAAAGTTTAGATGAAAACAAATGCAATGAGACCGATTTATGAAAAAAAAAAAAAGGCTAGAATCACTTTTACAAATAAATTTCCCCCACCCAAATGGTATAGTGATTAGGAAAGCCGAGTGCAGTACCATAGGGCCCGGGTTTGAATCGCGGAGAAAGCATGGTAGTAACTGTCTATCTGTTTATAGGAGGTAATACTAGCCGTCCATTAGGTGCCTTCACAATAAAATGGAAACCACTTCTGGCTTTAGAGTGGCAAATATCAAAAAGGTGAGTGCATGCCATTAGATTTAAAAAAAAAAAAATTTTCAACTTTCAAATAAACTTTTCTACATATTTTTATTTATGGCTCCCAATTAACACAGTCAGCAGCTCTAAACATAACAAATCAGTACTTACAGAAAATCCTATCGACCCTTTTTGTCTACCAACCCTGCTACAGCAACCTGCTAGTTTTTGTTTGGACGCCATTTTGTTTTCACGAAGTAAAGGCAATTTTTTTTTTTTTTTACTCAACATTTATTTTCCAACAATCTGCTAGCCGAATTACGCTTATGCTAGAACTTTTCTGAAACAAAAGTCATGATTAAATCATGACCAAAATTAGGTGCAAAATTGGGAAGTGCAGAATCGCAAACTGCTTACCGCGTTTTTAAGAATTACACATACACGGAATCCATGTACACGTTGACCTATTTGCACTTAAAAAAACATCCCAGAATTGCACAAAAATAGCATTGCGCACACTCTTAACTTTATCCATGTACACTGCTAAAGTCCTAGCTAGTAACCTTTATCGCCTTAACAAAATGTCGCCAAACTACCTGTTACCATATTCCAAAGATTAGCCACAAAATCTTATAATTTGTTTATTTTTAGTTTAAATTAAAGCAAGTTATTGGATGGATAATTAAATATTTCAGAATTATTTGAAAGAAATATCAGTCTAAGTATTTAATATTTTAACTGTCAATATATTTGAATTACAATGTAAATGTCTTACAGGTGCAAGATAAAATATAATTTTTTTCCTTATGCGGTATTATTATAGTTTATGTACGTTTTTATAAATATTTAATAAATTAAATAAATAGTCAACATTTATGGACAATATTTTTTAATAAAATGTTTTAATTAAAAAAAAGATCCAGCCCGTCATTTGTTTTCTGATTCTACATGTGGCCCACAAGCAATTTGAGATCACTGCCATAGGGCACACAACCAATATTTAAGAAGTCATGCCAGAATAATAAACATGATTTAAATCAAAATAGCAAATATTTTTATTTCAGATAATTTTCGTAAAAAGTTTTTCAGAGTGAATAATGCTAACAGTTCTTCTAAAATGCACTTCAGAACACATTTTTAACTAAAATAATTACGGCTCAAATTTAAGAACTGAAATGTAATCAGTGGCGTAGCTAGGGTAGGGCAAGGGGGGACATCCGTCTCCAGCGCAGCATGTAGGGGGCGCCAAATTTATGATACACATTTCAGAATGAAATGTTTTCCATTCTTGGAACACAGAAAGGGGCGCAAAATCTTTAGGGGTCCCCGGGCGCTGAAAACCTTAGCTACGCCTCTGAATGTAATGCAAATTATATTATTTTAGGATGTTTCACTTGCTCAAATTCATCACGATTTACTTTCAAGCAATTATAGTATCAGAAAATCCTAAAGTTGATCCTAAGATGTTTAAAATTTTGAAAAATACATCCACTCAGAAATCTGCTGTCAATAATAACAATGACATTTTGTTAACTTTTATCTATAAACCAAAGCAAAAGATATCACAAGCCAAGTTTTCGGCTGACCATTGCTGATTTAAATATTAAATTTATCATATATTCAATATAGGACTTGCTATGGTTAATAATTTTGTTAATATTAAAAGCAAAGTTATAATGCTTCTTATTTTAACAAACGAAAATCACCTTCAGCATTGAACCTAAGAATTAAAATCAATTTGCACTCAGTTAAATGCACAAATACCAGTTATTACAAATACTTTTTTAAAAATCGCAAAAATTAAAAAAAAAAGATATACTTGCTAGGAAATGAAGGGACAACAACTCTTGCACCCACATTATGAAGGTAATCTGCAACAAGGCTAAAATCTTTCCATGAACCTGGAGCTCCATGTAGAGCTAAAACTAAAGGAGGCAATTTTTCTTTAGAATCAGATACTGTACCTTCTCCTGTATCTATATACGGAACATTAAATGTTAAGCCTTCTTTCGGTACTGTTCGAAATCTTTTCTCAGCTTCCCATTTTTTATATAATGGTCCACATGTTTTAATAATTACTTCCCGTTCTTCGTAATATTTCTCAGAAACTGAAACATGATTGCGGTAACTATTCGTATACAAATTATACGAAAATTTCGGCGATTTTTTAAATGAATTAATTAATTTGCATACACCCCACTTCATATTTAAACATAAAATTCACGGGTAAACAGTAAGTTATTATTTAGCGCCTTTTCAAAATAATTATACTATAAACTTCTACATAAATTCTCTATTAAAAAGTTTGGAAAATGCACAATTGCAAACAGATTTCTACTTGACACAGCATGTTTAATTTTATGCTATAGTTCATAATCTCAGAATTGTGTATGGCTAGTTGAAATACGAACTTTTTCCCTTTCAAGATGAAAATATATCAAAGAATAGCAATCTTGTTTTTGAGCAAGAAGAAAGGAGATGAGGACTTTGGGGATCGCCGTTTCCTCCCGTGCGTGAGGCTTGGTAATTTACAAGTTTCTTCCAACTTTGAGCAGAAACTTCGAATTTTAGACTAAAAGCAAAACTAAACTTTGCGTATGCGTCTTCTCATTGAAGCTTGATATTTACGTGGGACTGAACGATCTGAAGCATGCTCTAGAAAGCAAAAATGTTATATTTAAAATTTATATAGCCTTTTTTATAGACTTTGAGCAAGGATATAGAATAAAAAAGAAAAAATCTGTAAGTTTTTATAAATGAGAATGAAAGATTTAGTAATATGTAGTTTGTCAATGGCAACATTTAACATTTAGTATTTACCGCGATTGAATTCACCTATAGGTGGCGCTTTCACACATTAGTGTGGCGGATAAAACCCAGTATTTTGATTTATGATCTGACTGCAATCGTTCGAAACTTTTGAAGTACTTAGGAATTTATGATCTTAAAATATATGATACTCTTCCTGTAGAAGATGAAAAAATTAAATGAAATTAAGGCAAAATTTACGGAATATCGTATACCTAAAAAAAATTGCTAAAAGTTTACAATAGGGTACCCTTGATATTTTTGGCGATCTTTTTTGGCTAAAAATGGTGCCAAAAAGTAATATTTCTAAGATGGCTGTGATCCCAAAACAGTGTCAAAAACGTGTGTTACAAAATCAAGAAAACTACTTACTTCATGTGTGGCTGCATCTCATCATTAGCATTGGATGACTTCTGCAAATACATAGTGCAAATCATGTAGTCCTGGACTTGAGGCCCTTCACCTGATCCCCATATTGGAGACGCCACATAAACTCCACAAAGTAGGAATACCAAATGTCATTTGATAACTTCCTAAGACCTTGCCCATGAGAAAACTCGTGCTTAATGTGGTGCCACATGCCCTCAGTGGGGTTGCTACTAGTGTCTTTCTCGCATCAAAGCCACTCACAGCCATCCAGCTGATCTTTAAGCTTGACCAGACCCATATCTTTCGTACAAACTTGCTATTCATTGTGACGTAATTAAACCTTCATTCATGCACCAATCAGTTACAGCTTTATGAAAAAAAAAGTATTTAACATATCAGTATTTCCTTGTGGAACTGATGGGACAAGTATTAATTAGAACCAGACAGCTAACAAAAACCAAAAGGCAATTAATTGTGATTAAAATTCCAATAATTCAAAATACAGGATTTGTAGTGTATGATACACGTACTACAAATCATATAGCTCTCGATCACTGAAGTTCCAATCATATTAAACTTCAGAAAAACATTGGCATTAAGAAAAAGATGGCTACCACAACTTTGGGGAAAATGATTTGATCTATTTTGGTTACCAAAAAACCAATATTGTCCTCTGTATTGGCACCAAGGCACCCTTTTCTACACCAGAACTGAAAAATAATATCTATGAAAGACATTTATTCTTCACTAGAAACCATAGATGAGTATGTAACTGACCTTTCGGAATAAAGGTAGAACATGTGAGTTTGCGCAGTTAATGGATAGTCTGATAACGGATAAAATTGTTTATGGTATTAAAAATTTTGTTGTGAGAGCAAAATTATTGCACGAAACAATCAACATGAGAAAAAGCTTTTGGTATATGCAGATCTGTAGAAATAAATGCACATCAAATGAAAATAATAAAATATGAGGAAACTGTTGTAAACATAATGAAAAAGAAACTATGTAAACATAATAAGAATTTGTGCATACAAAGAGGTAAATATTGAGAAACAAGTGGTGAAAGTTTGTTCTAAATGTGGCACATCTCATGAATATCAAAAGTATCCAACATGTGGAAAAATCTATAAGTGTAAAAAGGCAAATCATTTTGGAAATCGGTGTAAAAGCTAGAAAATGAGAAGCTATTACGGTTTAAAAAAAGGGAAACAAGTTAAATTATAAAATCATGACTCTGAGGAAGAACTTGAATTTTATGTGGATACATTAAACCTTAGTTCAGATAACTGCAGAGACATTAGGTATTTTTGGAAGCAGGAAAGATGAAAAATAGCAAACGCCTTTGCTGGGAATCGATCCACGGACCTCTGGAATACCGTCCGGAACCACTACACCCCGTAGTGCGACTCTGGAGTGTTGTAGAAAAAGAAAATATATACATTTATATGTATATTTGCGACGTAATTACAAAATATTTACACCCGAACGCGTCAAATCCCATAGAACTCAATGGTAAATGACCCAATGTTTTGGTCACCACGTAGGGATCGCCGGTGCTTCAGAGCACGGTACGGAGAAACTTGTTTAGGGCGACTCCATCTTACTTCCTACCTCCATGACCACAAGATGGGTGTGGGTGAAAAGTGCGGGTATTTTTTCCTCTCGGAGGTCGGGGGTCATTTAGTGTTTTATATATATATATATATATATATATATATATATATATAATCGTTGGATTATCGGTATTACTGACTTTCTTTTACTTTCAAATCTTCATTTTTACTAGGAATTCTAGTATTCCAGGAAGCTCTAGAAATAAGCCTTTTTGCAGCAAAGCAATTACTGTATAATGTGATTAAAGTTTGTGATAAAGAATCACAATTTAAGAAGACTGACCATCCCAGTTACACAGCCAACGCATAGAGTGAGTAAGATGACTGGCATTTCTATTGCCAGCATAAACAGAGTTCGTAAAGAATCTGAAAGTGAAGAATATATTGAATGCTCTTCCCCTAAAAAAAGAAAAAAAGAGAGAAACTGTTGTGAGTACAAGCTTAGATAATTTCGATTTGGATATTTTAAGAAGAGAAATTCAAGACTTTTATGTCAAGGGAAAGATAGTACCAACTATAGCTAAACTGCTTCCTGTATTAAAAGACACAGTCAATTTTCCTTGGCAAAGAAAAATGCTAAGAAAGATTCTCCGAGAAATTGGTTTCATCTAGAAAAAATCCCAGAATTAAAGAAGCGTTTCATTAGAAAGACCCGACATTATTTTGTCAAGAACAATGCATTTGAGGAATACAGAGAAGAATCCCATTCCCTAATTTACATAGATGAAATATGGGTGGACAGCAATTTAAGGGGACTCGTACACCTTAAAACCCACAAGATTTTCGAATATGTGACTGTTGCAAGAATTGGGATAACTTATTTATTTTAAAAGCAATTACTTCCAACCTTTTACAGATGACTACATAGTATAGCTGTTTTCTGAAATAGTGATCAGAAAGTTTGTGTTGCCACAAGTATTTTTATAATTTAATCCGCTTTTTGACAAAATTTTTCGTCATGTTTCCACCTTGCGCGCACAGTTTAAAACATTCTGTTGCATAATTTAATTCCATATTTAATATACAGCTTTTATAACATTTGGAAACTACTGTGAACCAAAAATTCTAAGAATTTTCATGTTAAAAATTTATTTTATTTGGAGTCGAGTTTATAAAAATGTATTTTATTAAAAAAATATCTGTAATGTTTTCTTCCATAAATTTTTTTAATATTAAAATATGCATCAGATTTTAGGTTCAGTTAAAAGATAGGGCTCATATAAAGAATTCTATCCAATTTCAAGTATGTACCATTAGCCATTTTTAAAATATCATGCGCGCAAGGTGGAAACGTGACGAAATATTTTGTCACAAAGCGGATTAAATTACAAAAATATTTGTGGCAACACAAACTTTCTGATCACTATTTCAGAAAGCAGCTATATTATGTAGTCAGCTGCAAAAAGTTGGAAGTAATTTAATTTAAAATAAATAAAATATCCCAATTCTTGCAACAGTCACATATTCAAAGGGTGTTAAGGGTTCTAAGGTGTATGAGACCCCTTAACGTTTGGAAAATTCTGGCAATGAAATGAAATCAGTGGGATTTTAAAAACAGGGAATGCCTCTCGCCGCGTAATAATTTTATGTGCTGGTGGTGAAATGGGTTTCATTCCCAATACTAGCTTAATTTATAAAGCGAACTCTACAACTGTTGATTATCAAGGACAAATGAATTCAATATTTGAAAAATGGGCAAACGAAAAGTTAATTTCAAACCTACCGCCAAATTCCATCATAATTATTGATAATGCGCCTTATCATTCATTCGGTGTAGCTCAATAAAGTCCCCAATGCCTCCCAAAAAAGAAAGATATAATGCAGTGGCTGACAAAAAAACATTTCTTTTGTCCGAATTTGCGAAAAGTGGAGCTGCAGGGATTTAGTGAAATAAAATGCTGCCAAAGTCAAAACTTTTAAATTTGATTGTATAATCGAAAAACTAGGTCATACAGTTCTGAGACTACCACCATATCACAGTGATATAAATACCACAGAGTATGCATGGGCTGAAGTAAAAAATTATGTTTGAAGTCAGAACCCGACTGCAGATCTAAGCATATCAAATTTCACAAACGAGGCTATTGAAGGTGTTTGGGTGAAGAATTGGATGAAGTATTGCGATCATGTGAAGAATTTAGAAACTAAATATTGGAGAAAAGATGGCATTATAGAAGAATTATGTGAACCATTAAATTTTACTGTGAGCCACAATTCGGATTCTGAATTCTCTACGAGTTCGGAGAACATTTAATGTCTTAATTAAAACTAAAATAATTTTTATGCAACCTCTTCTCATTAAATAGCTTTATTTTATTTATGGATCAGTTTGATTATATTAAGAAATGTAATTTATTAAAGTATATTTAACAGCTAAAAGTTTTTCATTCAATGTTTGAAAATATTTAAAATCAATTCAAATGTATTATTTATTAAATCAATTGTTATTATTAAATTAATATTTATTAAAATACGTATAAATTGATGATCAATTATGTTAAGATATATAGTTTACTATTACAGTTCTTATACTAGTTTTTCTTTGAAATGTTAGGATCTGATGTTTTTATGTATTTTAATTTAATTCCGGCTACTGCACTCACCCCTACATCATTGATAGATATGCCCACTTCTGCCCCAAACCTGACGTTTACATAAACCTGGGATACATTGTCAGACAGTAATGTTAAGTAATCAAGTTATAATATTAATAGAAGAACTACAACCAATGTCTTGGCACTTGTCTGTCATTTTGTGTAATATGCTGCATTAAAATACTTATTTCCTTGTTTAGTATCTTTTGAGAATGAGTGGTAGGATTTTCTTCATTTTCATTACAATTAATTAAAATTTTCTCACATCATCGGTAATATTTTTGCCTACAAATTATTTAAATTTGCTCATCTGTTCCTTCTGTGTGTTTAGTATCAGCCTTTTATCAGTAATGTCAGCTGATGTACAGATGATCAG